AGAGAGAGAGAGAGAGAGAGAGAGAGAGAGAGAATGGTTGTTTGTCTCGTTTGTCTCCATGTGTCCCAGTGATGGACTTGCAACCTGTCCAGGGTGTATCCCGCCCCTCTAACAGTGATTGTCAGACATGGGCACCGGCAACCCCTTTGACCCAAAATGGAAGAAGCGGATAAAAAATAATGGATGGATTGATAATAATAATAATAATACATTTTATTTAAAATTGCTTTTCAGGACACTCAAGAAAACTGTACAGCTAAAAACCAACATACAGCAGAAAAAAAAGTGTGTAACAAATGAGTTGAGAGAAAAATGTACAGTAAGATCAAACATTAAAATAGAAAGTCCACTGGAGTAAATGAAGATGGATAGGCTAATTTAAGGAGACCAGTTTGAACAGTGATAAATGTGTTATTTTGTAGGGTAGTGAGATCCAGAGATGAGGGTTGAATGCCCTGTTCCCCAGGATGGTGAGGCAGGCAGAAGGTACATAGAGGTGGAGGGAAGAGGATGATCTGACGGAGCCGTAGGGGATGCAGATCTGAAGAAATTCAAATAAATATGGAATGGTGAGATTGTGGATGGCTTTCAAAGTATAAAGAAGAATTTTGAAGATGATGCAAGATTTAAGAGGGAGCCAGTGAAGCTGCTGCAGGATGGGGGTGATGAGATTGTTGGAGAAGATTTGGGTGATGACATGGGAAGCCGAGTTTTGAATCATCTCTAGCTTGTTAAGGGACTTATTGGGGAGGCTAAAAAGAAGGGAGTTACAAAAATCGATCAAGGACATCACAAGACTGTGAAGGATGACAGTGGAACAAGGGGTGAGAGAAGGACAGAGATGGTTAATGTTATGATGGTGGAAATAAGCAGATCGAGTGACATTATTGATGTGGGACATGAAGGACAGTGGACAGTTGAGGATGACACCCAAACTCTTGACCAGAAGGGAAGGGGAAAGAGATTAGATAAGGTAAGAACTTGGTATTGATCCCACAGGAAATTGTTGAAAGCAATGAGTTGTTAAGTGGGAGGAGAAGACGTTCAGATTTGGAAAGAGTGTTTTTGGTACCGACAAGGATGAGTTCTCTTATATCACTGTTAAGTTGGATAAAATTGTAGGAAAACCAGCGAATGAGCTAACTGAGACAATCAGTGAGGATGGAAGGTGGGAGTGCAGAATTAGGTCTGGAAGACAAGTAGAGCTGGGTATCATAACAGTAAAAGTGGATACCAACTTTACAGATGTGACCTAGTGGAAGAAAATAATGAAGAGGGTCCCAAAGACAAAACCTTGTGGCACACCAGTAGAGATGGGTGAAGACTGTGAATGCAACGACTGAAGTCGAATGAACTCAGAATGGTCAGAGATACGATTTAAACCAGTCAAGAGGAGTATCAGAAATGAAGATTGAGGTTAGTCTGTTGAGGATAGAGAGAGAGATGGTGTCAAAGGCCGCACTCAGGTCAAAGTGAACGAGGATGGACAGAACACCAGAGTCAGCAGCGAGAAGATCATTTGTAATTTGTATGAGAGGAGTTTCAGTGCTGCGGAGGGGCGAAAACCAGATTGAAACTGTTGATCTAAGCTATTGTTTGAAAAATGTGAGTAAACTTGACTGACAACCACTTTTTCAAGATATTCAATGTCTACAACATTAAATAAATATGGGTAATTGCATTTGAAAAACTTGAATCAGTTTGGCATGCCATATACCTTAAACAAGCCCACTCAATCAAGCTGTTTTCTTATCATTTTCCCTAAATAAACCTTGGAGCACCACGTTCAAGCAAGACAAGTTGAGCGTGTGTCCATGTAATTCTTATTTTTTTATCTCCAACAGCAAATTCATACAATGAAAGCCATTTATTTGTTCACCTTGTGCCACTGAACTTTTCCAAACTGTGTTAGTGCTTCAGATTGCTCGTCAAGTTGATGAAACGTTTATGAGTTTTGTGAGAAACTGCATTTGTGCCAGACCAAACTTTTCAGAGGAAGGATCTAAGAAGAGTTAGACTATGCATGATGATTTAGTCCAGAATATTTAGAAAGCACATCCTCGGTAACTGAATAAACATCCTGGAGGCTCAATTTGCAATGAAAGCAATGAATATTTTCTCCCCTCTAGTCCCAACTGTAATCCAAAATAAATAAAAGAAATAAGCCTTCAAAAAATGCAAAAGCAAACTGGCACATTAAACCATTACTGATTTTATCCAAATATTTGAAAGCTTACAAACTGTTGGCAGGGTGCTTTTCCCCCATTTGAACTGAGTGTCCAGGTATTGTTTTCCAGGTTTGGGAGTTTATCATACCTGGGATGTCGTGTGGTATGAAGTGAGCTGGTGCGCGTCTTCCCAGGTGCCAACGAGGTTTTTCTGCGACAGGTGGTCCTGTAGTAGCCGAAGTAGCTATGCTGCTGCTACTGTTGTTGCTGCTCCAGCCCAGAGGGGGGCGATCTGAGCCGCATGGGGACGGGGACGGCGATGGATTGAACGCAGACCTCAGACCAAAGACCGAGGAGGTGGTTTCATCATCATAGAGTTGCTTGGATGCAGGCTAGAAGAAGAAAAATAGAGGGGATGCCCCTCGTGTTACAAAGGTTTAAATGGTGGTATTTCCTTAATTTATTGCTGCGGTCGACACTGTTGCAGGACACAATTTTTGTTTCAGCAAGGTAGGGAAGCACAAACTTCAATAATGTTGCTTTGGTGCATAAAACATTCCAGTTAATGTTTGATGACAGATGTGAAGAAGATTATGTGAGTGAGGGGGGGAAACAAGATACCATACTACATTTATTTGCAGACCACTAACATGTTAGTTAATTTATTCAATCTTTTATAATCAGAAATCAGCCACTGAAGTAGCAGTTGTTAACTGAAGGGAACTCTTTACAATAATAAATGAATATTATCCCAAATGAGGAGGAGACTGATTTTGTCTTTGAAATTTTATTACAAAAAAAAAAAAAAAAAAAAAAACATCAAAAAGAGAATAATGAACAACAATAATAATATTGTAATGCTTCTTCATCTTACATGTGGCTATCAAACTTTTCAACTTCTCCCCTTTTCTACACATAGGACAATAAAATGAATCCTGCACTACTAACACTTCCTGCACTACAATAACACTTTAATGTTTCTGTCTGCACCTGACCTGTTTACATCTTAATTGTTGGTATTTTTATTATTCTGTTATTTTATTTATATTTTGTGTGATTCCTTGTGTATGTTCCATTGTACTGAAACTCTGGCACAACAATTTCCTGTTGGATCAATAAAGTTCTATCTTATCTTATCTTATCATACATATTCAAAACATCTGTCACGATCATGAAACTTCAACCTTCAGTTAAGTCTACATTAAATAAATAAACAAGTTAATATGAACCCAACATTTTTCAATTAGGTCATCTGGACAGTTTCTTTTTTTGTGCTGAAACGTTTCTCCTTCGATCCGGAAGGCTTCATCAGTCAAGGAACCACACAACAAAACTCATCCTTCCCCCATCAGCTTATTCCAAAGTGGAACAAACCAGTTTTGTTGGTGCTAAGATGGTCTTTTTGGTACGCCCCCTCCTCCTTTGCTGGCCCTCTTCCTAGTTGACAGTCGTGTCAACTGGGAAGACTCTGTCAAAACTGGTTTGTTCCACTTTGGAGTAAGCTGTTGGGGGAAGAATCAGTTTTGTGTTGTGTGTTTCCGTGACTGATGAAGCCTTCCGGATTGAAGGCGAAACGTTTCAGCACAAAAAAAAAACGAAAAAAAAAAGAAACTGTCCAGATGACCTGACTGAAAAATGTTGGATTGTATACCTGGATTACTGAGGATGGACTTTGTTGTTAAGTTAATATGAACTTTGGTAAAAGTTCCTGTTTTAAATGTGCTACACAAATAAATTTGATTTGACTAAAAACACAAAGTTGATGTGGCTGAAGGATTAGAGTAAAAAGAAAAGCCTTATATTCACATCCACCCATCCATCATCTTTTACCCGCTTCTTCCTTTTCGGGTCATGGGGGTCACTGGTGTCCATCTCCAGCAGTCACTGTGCGAGAGGCAGGGGACACCCTGGACAGGTCTCCAGTCCATCATAGGGACACACATAGACAATCGAGACAAACAACCATTCATTCTCTCACTCTCACCTAGAGACAAGTTAGATTTACCAGTAAGCTTAACATGCATGTGGTGAGACCAGCTATGATGTATGGTCTGGAGACAGAGACATGGACAAAAAGCCATGAGAAAGAAATGGAAGTAGCAGAAATTAAGACGATGAGGTTCTCCTTAGGAGTGACTAGGATGGATAAGAATGAGATCATCAGAGGTACAGCACAGGTTGAACAACTGGGAGCTAAAGCTAGAGAGGCCAGACTGAGATGGTTTGGATGTCCAGAGGAGGGACAGTGGGTATACTGGTAGAAGAATGTTAGAAACGCAGCTGCCAGGAAAAAGACAAATATGAGATATATGGATGAAGATAGAGAGGACATGGAGGTAGTTTGAGTGAGGCCAGAGTGAGTTGGAGGAGGATGACTCGCTGTGGAGACCCCTAAAGAGGGAAAAGCCAAAAGAAGAACAAGAAGAAGTTGCAGTAAAATTCTCATGAGTCCAGAGTTAGAACATGTTGATGTAGTGCAAGGAAATAGCCTTAGCAGTAAAGCCAAAGAATGAAAACAAAGAAAAATTAACAACAAATAGTAAACCCTTGAATACTATCTATAAAAGTACATTTTGTATTTATGGCTTTTTGAAATAAATAAACAAAAAACTGTTCTGCATGTATGTGCAGAATCTGAAATGACTAGTTTTATTGAATGTTTAGTTTTATTTCAGGGGATAATATTTCCATCTGGATGACACTGACTCACTTGACATCTGTTTATAGAAACCTGCTGAGAGTGAGAAAAGGATGATGACTAAATCTGACAAATCTGAACGGGTGGGGGGTGGGATGTGCCGTGCCGTGCAACAGGTTTTGGGTAATTTGGATTCAGTCTTTTGTCTAGAAAAGATTATAACAAACACGATGAGGCTTTTTGTCACAACACAACTTGGAGCTGTCATTTCTGGGAATCAGAGGGGAAAATAATCGCGCTCCATTGTGTTACTGATTAAAGTTTAAAAACTGGAGCACTCTCTCAGTGAAGGAGAAGCCAATATGAAGATGTACAACATCCAAACAGCAGACACAACATCTCCTCTAAAGTGTCCTTCACATTTAAATTGTGACTCTTACATATCAAAAGGTAATGTGGACAAACATTTAAAAACATATCTTTATGCCTAAAATATTTTTATATTTGAGATGTTGTGCAAAATGTAAATTAAAGTAGCAATGCACCAAAGTCCATGCTCAATAATCCAGGTGTAAAATCCAACAATGTTCAGTCAGGTCATCTGGACGGTTTCCTTTTTTTATGCTGAGACGTTTCACCCTTCATCCAGAAGACTTCTTCAGTCTGAGGAAACACCAAACAAAACTGCTTCTCCACCAATAGCTTACTCCAAAGTGGAAAAAACATTTATGTTGGTGCTAAGATGGCCTCTGGGGCATGCCCTCTCCTCTGGTGCCTGCCCTCTCCCTTGTCGACAGTCATGTCAAACTGGTTCAAAACACCAAAGTCCATGCTCAATAATCCAGGTATAAAATCCAACAAAGCAGCAATGATTTGCAACCCTCAGACCCATTTTATTTTAAATTCACGATGAAACATCCATCCATTCATTTTCTTCCACTTATCCGGGGTTGGGTCGCAGGGGTAGCAGCCTAAGTAGGGAGGCCCAGACTTCCCTCTCCCCAGCCACTTGGTCCAGCTCCTCCAGGGGAATCTCGAGACGTTCCCAGGCTAGCCGAGAAACATAGTCCCTCCAGCGTGTCCTGGGTCTTCCTCTGGGCCTCCTCCCGGTGGGACATGTCCAGAACACCTCACCAGGGAGGGGTTCAGGAGGCATCCTAAACAGATGCCCGAGCCACCTCAACTGGCTCCTCTCAATGTGGAGAAGCAGCGGCTCTACCCTGAGTTTCTCCCGGATGATCGAGCTTCTCACCCTATCTCTAAGGGAGAGCCCAGACACCCTGCGAAGAAAACTCATTTTGGTCCACCTTTTTGAATAGGGGGACCACCACCCCATTCTGCCAATCCAGGGGAACTTCCCCCATGTCCACACAACATTGCAGAGTCGCATAAGCCAACACAACCCTAAACATCCAGAGCCTTAAGGAACTCCGGGCGAATCTCATCCACCCCCGGGGCCCTGCCACCGAGGAGCTTTTTAACCACCTCGGTGACCTCAGCACCAGAGATTGGAGGGCCCGACTCCGCTTCCTCAGTGGAAGACGTGCCAGTGGGATTGAGGAGGTCTTCAAAGTATTCTGCCCACCGACCCACGACATCCCGAGTTGAGGTCAGCAAAGCACTACTCCCACTATAAACAGTGTTGGTGGCGTACCGCTTTCCCCCCCGAGACGCCGGATGGTGGACCAGAATTGCCTCGAAGCAGTGCGGAAGTCATTCTCCATGGCCTCTCCAAACTCCTCCCATGCCCTAGTTTTTGCCTCAGTGACCACCCGAGCGGCATGTCGCTTGGACTGCCGGTACCCATCAGCTTCTTCTGGGGTCCCACCCCAATAGGCTCCTTCTTCAGCCTGACAGCATCCCTCACCGACGGTGTCCACCACCGGGTTCAAGGGTTGCCGCCGCGACAGGCACCGACAACCTTGCAGCCGCCAGTAAGCCGGTAAGCCGCCTCGACAACAGAGGCACAGAACATGGCCCACTCGGACTCAATGTCCCCCACCTCCCCCGAAACATGTTCAAAGTTCTCCTGGAGGTGGGAGTTAAAACTCCGTCTCACAGGAGACTCTGCCAGATGTTCCCAGCAAACCTTCACAACACGTTTGGGTCTGCCAGGTCTGACCGGCATCCTCCCCCACCATCGGAGCCAACTCACCACCATAGTGATCAGTGGAAAGCTCCGCCACTCTCTTCACCCGAGTGTCCAAGACACTGACTGCAGATCAGATGAGACGATGACAAAGTCGATCATCGAACTGCGGCCTAGGGTGTCCTGGTGCCAAGAGCACATATGGACACCCTTATTCTTGAACATGGTGTTCGTTATTGACAATCTATGACGAGCACAGAAGTCCAACAACAGAACACCTGTTCTGTTGTTGGACACAATGAAACAGTCATTCTGAATTTGATGGCAGCAACAAATGTTGAAAAAGTTGGTGCAAAGTTGTTTCCCACTGCGAAGAATCTCCTCTTTATTTGACATTGGTCTGGAAATATTTAGGGACTGAGAAAACCAGCTGGAATTTTTGTGTGGGAATTATAAATCTTTTTTTTTTTCTGATGTAGGATTATAGCTGTTCCTGAATTTGTTTCCTTAAATTGCCTTTGTTGGTCTAAAACATGTGTATCTTGTATTGCCTTGATGGTGTATTTCCAGATGTGTAAGATGCCATGCTTTAGGCACTAATGCAATAACTACAATTTTCAGCCGCTAGATAGCAGTCAAGCAGTATGGCATGCCATGGTATCATGTAATAGGTAAAAGTGGATATTAATGACACAATTAGCTTGCCATAGCCTGCCACCATCGTCTGCCTGGAGCAACTGTCAAATTAGCTTCATTTTGCTGTGCTGCCCCGGCGAAATGAAGCTAATTTGACCACTGAAGTGCATTTATTAAGTAAAAGTTAGACTGAGACACACCTTTACTATAAAGTCAAGCAAACAAATAATTATTTTTAGGTGTTTATCTTGTTATATTTTGAAGAAATGCACAGCGAGTCGCCCAATGCGCGTTCACGTTTACATGTATCGGCTTTTGAAAATGCAGCTGATTTGACCATCAAGGTACATTTATTAAGGAAAAGTTAGACTGAGACACACCTTTGCTATAATTTTGAGTAAAACAAATAATTATTTTTAAGTGTTAATCTTGTTAAAATAACGTTAAAGTCCTCCCGTGCACGCTCCTGCGGCCGCCATTTGGCAGCCAATCATTTTTTGGCACAACATTTCCAGGTGGTCAGCGGTGACACGTAACAAGCGCAACATGTCAGCAGTGACTAGGGCTTTAACAGACTTCCGGGGAGTCCTCCCCCAGAAAACTTTGAATAAAGTAGATGCCATTTCCTACATTCTAGTGTATTTTAACAGGTTGTTAAACATCTATGTGTACCTATATTTGTAAACAGTTGATTCAGTAACTATTTTAGAGAGCAACAAGAAATAACCTGACCAACAGCTCTCCTTGTGTGAACAGAGCACACTTTGCTTCTCTCAAGCATCCTAATTGCTAACGCTGTTATTTTGACAAATTTGTGCCGTTGTTTTGATATGTGATGTACATACGTGATTACCCATCAAACATTTCTCTCGTATTTTGAATTATCAAAATTTTTATTAATGACCCACTTAAACTGTAAAACTGATTTGCAATTCAGTTGTGCCGTTTAATCATATTTTGTGTTTTTAATTAAATTGCCCATGACTGTACTTTTATGGACAGAGATTTTTTTTTAAGGGTAGAAGCAGAAATGCATACTTGAAGGGGCAGTTCTCATGTGATATTAGGAAGCTCGTAAGTGGCTGATATGTTTAAAAATGAGCATTTATGTAATTATTTTCAGTAATTACATGTCTAATATAGGTTTTATTTGTTCAAGGCAGTCATATTTGTTCATAACTTTTTCATATTAGTAAACCTGAGAGTTACCGGATCCAAGCAAGCAGTTTTCTGCACCCTGTCAAAATTATATTTATTTATTTATTTATTTTTTCATTTAGCCTTTATTTATCCAGGTAGTCTCATTGAGTCACGAGAACTCATTTTCAAGAGAGACCTGTTTAGGAGCAGATGATAAAATAAAAGAGTTCCCGGATCCTGTTCCAGCATGATCCGGCTCGAATTAAGCCCTGGTGGCACCCCATCTACTGATGATGCATAAGTGTATGAAGTTTCCTTAAAGTTTCTTGAGCGGATCAGAAGTTATGGGCTGGACAAGAGAAACTTTATGGAAATAGACGTTCGGACGGAGACTAAACCATAATACATCCGCTGTCCAAAGAGCATTTAAAAAGGCAGAATTATATAATAAATAGCTAATGATGACTAATGTTTGAAGGAAAGAAGAGTTTAAATAAATCCCAAAGGACTGTGGGTTGGAATGGATGGGTGGATAAGTAAAGAAAGTGGATACTGAGTGTGTAGGTTTGTTTAACAAGCGGTCAGCTTTTGTATTATTGAGGCTTAGAAATAAAACATTTAATAATACTTTGTGTGCTTAATTATACCATAATGTAATGTGCAACAACGAGGGTCTACATGTTTGCATGTGTGTATTTACCAGGAAGATGAAGTCAGGTCTCCTGTTGTTTAGGGAGACGGGCGACCGGCTGAGTGATGTTGACGTGTCGTCCGAGCTCTGGGAGGACGGGTGGCGAAACGTCTGACCGGTCAGCTTGGAGTCGTACAGCTGCTCCTCAAATTCTGTACAAGCAGAAGAAAGAAAAAAAACAGAAAGAAATGAATGTCTTTAACTTCTGTTGGACATCTTGTAACACGTGAAAAACACATCAACTCAGTCTCACATACCAACTACTGTACATGCTCTGCAGAGAGCAGAGCAGAACTGTTGCTTTCCACCCTTTTGTTACCTTTTAGTCCCCCCACCCCAGCTTACACCCTCTCCTGGCTTTAACTCATCACCTTTGTTCATTAACTACTTTTTCCTACTGCGGTGCTTCCTTCTTTTAAATATCTAAACATTTCTTCCTCTTCAGCAGCTTAAAATCTCCCCTTCAGGCTATTGTAAACAGATTCCTAACCCCCACCCCCCCTTCCTAACCACAGGCTTACTCCCCCCTCACAGGCATCAGCCAATCCTTTACCCCAAAACACATATGGCAAGCCCTTTTAACATAAAATAGGATTCACCACGCTTACATTCCAGATATCTGAAACTGAGTTTTGACTAGACATATTGGTTATTTAAGATATCTTGAATTGCATTTTGACTAGTCAAAATACCTATTTAAGATATCTCTAATTACATTCTGACTAGTCATAATGACGTCAGATTTACCATTGAGGTGTATGGAGGCTTCAATTCAAGATATCTTAAACTGAATTTTGACTAGTCAAAAATACAGTTCTAGATATCTCTAAGTTAATTTTGACTAGTCATTATTTGCTTTCAAGATATCTCACTTTTAGTTCTGACTAGTCATAATTACAATTAAAGATATCTTAAATTACGTCATTATTCAAGATATCTTAAATGTATTTGTAGATATCAAAAATGAAGTTTTGACTAGTGCAAATTAAATTGTAGATATCTTGAAAGCAAATAACGACTAGGCAAAACTAACTTAAAGATATCTAGAACTGTACTTATGACTAGTCAAAATTCCTTTTAAGATATCTCAAAATGAATTCAAGATATCTTGAATATTTTATCATGTAGACGGCTTTTCTATTTAAGATATCTTGAATTCACATTTTGACTAGTCAGAATGACATTCAAGATATCTTGAATTGTTATTCTGACTAGTCAAAACGTCACAGATTTACGTAGCATTTTGGCGGAAAAATCATAAAGCATTGTAGCCTTTTTATTTTATAATCTGCAAAATCAGGTCAGTCCAACACAAGGCTCGTATTTTTAACATGATTTTTAGCGCGGCAGCTCGGATTATTTATTGTATCTGCAACAAGAAGACTTTTTTGCGACGTCTTTTTCACGACAACCGGAAACCGACACTTCCTGCTTTGCGAGTCTTTGCACTAAGGAGAAATGTCTCTCTTTTCAACATCTTTGCTTAATTTGCCAATCTTTTCTTTCGCTGCTGAGGAGGAAATCGCAGCGGCGAATTCTCGAACTAATAAACGTGAAAGGATAAAAGTTCTTCCATGAAGAAAATCTCCACAGCTGTCAAGGTAAGAAAAGACGTAGCTTAGCAAGCTAACCGTTAGCTACAACATATGAAGCGCATAAACATCGTAATAAAGAAGCCTAATTTAGTGTGCTACATTATTTGGAGTGTTTGAGACAGACATGATATAAAATCTTTAATTATATTTTTATGAGGTTCCATTAGTGCCAAACATATGTTTATGTGTATGTAGCGTGCTGTGTATATCTGTAAGTTGATGTGTTAAGTGAATCCATCTATTATACAATCTATTACTTGTTTAAAGCTAAATATGTTATAACAAGTATTAATTATATATATATGTGTGTGTGTGTGTGTGTGCTAAAAACAGATCTATTTTAGATCTCACTGGGTGTTGAAAAAAGAAATGTTGGCTTATTTCTGTAGAAGTGCAGCTGGTAAAGGTTTTTGTAACCATGTAGTTGCACTTTTTTTTTTACCAGACTGCCCACTACTCCCAACTCCAGCTGCCAACTGGTCCTCCTGTACTGGCCCGCACAAGAGATTTACAAAGCTGGCACAGACAAAGAACACAGGTAAAAAAAATAAAATAAGAGTGGAACACATTCTTTTCTGTTACATTATTTAGTATATGGTGGTTATGATTCTCATAACAACAATTGTAATAACTTTCCCACCTGTATATTATTAGTGCCATGTGAAATTTGTCATAGTCTCAATATTACTTGTGTCAAATATATTTTTCTCTCCTAACTTGTTTAGAATTGTTTGTTTTTGTAGGTAATGAATAATGCAGGTTCAACCTCTATGACTTAGTAATATTTGCAAGTTAAGTAAAAATCTTAACTCTCAGATCTGTCTCATTGTGTCCTACCAAATTGCTCATTTGTCTCTTTACATTTATTTATTTTTTATTTTGACGTATTTTTATGTTTATTTCTTGTAAGGGAATCCATCCTGAACCTGCCAGCGAGGTGGTGGTGGTGTGAAAGCCCAAAACTGTGGTGAAAAGATGTTTGCACTCCACGCTTTACAGAGCTTACACAGGTATAACCTTTGGGTTAATGTTTTTATGTCCATGTTTCCTTTGTCAAAACTTATTGTGATTCTGTCACTCGTGTGTTTGTAGGACCACTTCCAGATCCTGACATCCTGGCATCGGGAGAAAAACCACCTGCTGGAGTCCCAACCACTTATCACACTTATCCTAGAGATGGTCTCTCAGCTTTGGAGCTGGTACCATCCAGACTTGGTCCTGTGCCACAGGGCTCACTGAGGTCTCACCAGTGCCCACCTGTGAAGTCCTGCGCAGCATCATTCTGCACCACATGGCTCCAGACCTCCCTGCTCTTCCTTCAATGCTGCATAGTCTTCCCAACATGTGTTTTGTGCCCACACTTGATCAACTTATGCACCTTCAGTCTTTGCAAGTGTCACATGAAGTACAGGCCAGAACCAGGGAGCAGTCCAGATGTCCCGCGTGGGTACAGCTTAAACAACCAAGGCTTACTGCGAGCTGTTTCCACTTTCCGTGTTGCTTACAGAGGAAGTGCGGAGGAGGAGTCTGCTGACAGCACTGGCAGCTCAGATGATCAGGGGGTACACTAAACAATAACTGTTGAACGGGTATGGTGTGATGAATGGATTGATGATTGATTGATTGATTGATCAGATGAAGTCTAAACTGGACATGTTTTACTTCAACACCTTCATCCATGTGTTTATATCAATGCAGCAAGAAACATAAAATTTATAAATCACCCTTTTGTTCCTTCATATTTTTAATCAGTCTCAATCTGTGTGAATCACTGTAAATACTATATCCTGATGCTGCTCAATGATCCAGGTAGGAAAATCTAAAAAACGTTAAGTCTGGTCCTCTGGACTTTCAAAAAGCAAAACAACAAAACAAACACACACAAAAAGTAAAAATGTTTCGTCTCTCATCCGAGAGACTTCCTCAGTCTGAGGTGCTGTTTTCAGCTCAGTCTCTTAAATAGCACCTTCTCAGAGTGGATCAACCAGTTTGCTGCTGACAACCATGTGTAAATGTGTGAACCATTTATTACTTCATTTTATGCGTATGCTTAATAAATGTTTTAATGTTAAATGGTTATTGTTGCACCGGGGTCTGAGAGAAACGTAATTTCAATCCTGTGTATGTCCTGTACATGTTGCAGTTTTTGACAATAAAAGTGACTTTTGACTTTGAGCAGCACCTCAGACTGAAGAAGCCTTTCGAATGAAAGACGAAACGTTTCTACCTTCTTTTTTTTTGTTGTTTTGTTTTTTTGAATGTCCAGAGGACCAGACTTAACTTTTTAGATGTAAATACTGTAAATAGTTATTCATGAAAAATACATAAATGTGCCAATTTATTTAATTTGAAATTACATAATTTGATAAAATATCTATAATCCACTATCAATTTATAGTGTACAGTTATAAAATGTTAACTTAAATAGTTACATGTTTTTTGTTTTTACTAAATATTGTAAATTGCACTTGTTTTCCTTGTAATTCAACTGAATCAATCCACAAATAAAAAAACAGTACAGTATGCTGCTCAAGTGTGTTTTAATTGAAGAATGTTTAAAATAATTCAAAACAAACTATCTACTGGTAACTACGTAACACTAGAACAATTTATATGCATGTGACAAGCTTGGGTATGGATGTTATTTTTATTTTATAAACTTACTGCAACACCACCTTAGGACTTTCACCCAAGGACATCATTTATACACAGAAAAGACACTTGGGTTTGTTTACAAGTAAACACTGTGGAACAGAACCTACACGAGACTCAACTGTTACCTTCAACCTGGAATATAAATATGAAATTAACAAAAATAAATATGAATAATACTTAAGAATTGCAAAACAAACAAACATGGGCCTCACATTCACATACAAAAATCCAAAAGCCAGCCAGTCTTCTCTCAGGTAAGACACTGACTAATTATGGTGACTCATGCAGGCTGTGAGAGTGTAGTAAAGCATGGTAGGACAGATACGGTTGTTTTCTTGCCCCACAAGAACAACCAGGAACTGAACAAAAACAACAGCGCAGAGACTGAGCCATTTTCCTCACTGTCTAACGCTAACACTAGAGCCACAGGAAGTTGTGGCATTTTCTAACAATGTTGTCCAGAACAGCTAGCGCCATTGCAGCCACCCAAAATTCTGCAGGCAGCTGTTTGAACAGCTAAGTAGCAGCCGCGGGTCCTACGCGTCATTTCTTAATTCAAGATATCTAAAAGTGTCTTTCTGACTAGTCATAATTACATTCGAGATATCTTGAATTGTAATTACGGATGTTTGACCCGTCAAATGACGAATCAGGTGACGTCATTTAAGATATCTTGAATTACATTTTGACTAGTCAAAATGTAATTCAAGATATCTTGAATTGTTATTCTGACTAGTCAGAATGTAATTCAAGATATCTTAAATTAGCATTCTGACTAGTCAAAATGTAATTGTGCCTAGTCAAAACTCAATTTAAGATATCTAGAATGTAACTACAGATAGTCAGACTACTCGATTTTATGTTAAAAGGGCTTGCCATAAAACACACTCCTCCTGACCCAA